AATCAAACAGAGACCTCTACGGTAAATAAATTCGTCAACACAAGCGATTTGAAAACTTTCTATGAAGTTCCTAGTATAATCATAGTAGGCAGGAAAGTGAATTGTTTTAAAAAGCTGATCCACAAACTCACAAGCCGCACAAAATAATAATGACAGAAACCTCATCGCTTTAAGCGATACAGAGAGTGTAATAAGTGACAACCAAAAATTGACGCACAAATCTGCTAATTCGTAAAACTCCTAAAGACGTTTTAAACATTGAATTCTAGATTTATTTAATAAAGTGAACATATTTAAAATAAACAAGGTCTATTCTAGGTAACATGATTTCTTAACTATGGGACTTCGTTCTGTTAAAGGAATAGAATTGGTGATCTTCCATTGAGAATACCCTACAACTTTCATTAATGTTGCCAAATTTCCACACCCACTATCATCCACATTTTCAACATACTTCGTCTTCTGCAAGTAACTAACAGGACAATTCATGCGGACTGTTGTAACCACATTAAGAAGGACTTCAGTATAACATGTATACGTGGCTCGAAACGCTTCTTATATTAAATTTCGGCCTGTTATATCAACCGATCCAGTCGAGTAATCAAAGGAATCACCGCCGTCCTAGTAGTAAAGTAATCGCAAAGTAGAATACCTAACCTTAACCCACAACGGCCTGGACTCGGTGCACATTAACTGAGCGCTACCAGTAATCCGCTTTTCCCTATGACGACCACGCACGGTTTCATGCTAGGTTCGGCGCTTTTCGAACCCTTCCTGCGTTTTTCTCCAAACTGTTTTAATCATTCAGCTGATTGTCGTCAACATCTCAGGAACAATGAGTAAAGGGCTTCAGATGCCTTCTAGATATTCTCATAGTTCCGATCAAAAGTTTATAAATTAAAAGACAAGAGAAACATTTTAAAAGATTCCTTGGAAATTCAAGAACGTCCAACGATTTTGCTAAAAGTAATATCTTAAATAACTTCTCTCACAAAAACTGCACAATGTTGCTGTTGCTACCGCAGGTTGCACAATCGAACCGTAAATTCTACGAAGAAAGATGTTGGTGAATCATTCTCGATGACATTTTAATGTTGAAAAAACCTCAAAAAACCTTTTAAATTTAATGCTCACATAGATTGCTTGTATTTAGCAAGCATCAATTCAACACGGGTTTGGTTAAAAATCTACTTTTCATCGAATCTGCTCTTACGATGGTTACTTATACTGTAACTGTACAGTGTAACTCAGCACTAAGAGCACTAAAAAATCCTCACTAATTGGTTATCCAACGGAGTCGACCCACTTTATCCTACAGCACAGAAACAAGTACATTTACGTAGCGAATTTCATAATAGGGTTCCCGATAGCTTTGAGACAATAGAAAATACAACAAAACCTCATTTATAATTAAGCTCTATCCTTAACGCATTTAACGCACTACCTTACCAGTGCTTTGTGTTAACTCCGATTTTTCACGGACTCAGACTGTTTCCACAAAACAGTTCCTTCCCTAAACTGACCCTTAGCTGGACAACTTTGCTATTTATTCATCGCACTAATCATCTGGACCGTTTCCCCAGTTTTATCGGATTTTTCTGCGCTGCTTCATTGATGTGAAACGAACAATGGATGCGTTCCGTAAATAAACAAACTGCATGTGATAGGTGTTATCGGCTTATTGCGCTCTAAATGATCGAAGAACGTTTCGAGCAGCAGATATGTCTTTCTAAGAAGTGGTAAGTTCTTGAATCACCACCAAGCTTTTTTATAGGCCTTCAAAAGAACGAATACTATGACAAATCTTACTAATAATCCGGTCTTTTTAGATCTCAAACACTTATCGTAACGTAATTCCGTGGCACCACTTTTCCTAATAGTGCGTGTTCCTTCGAATGAATCACACAGAGGTGGGAAGAATGAAGTGTTGACGCTCAACTGAGGCTTGCGTACCGTTCAACGTGAAACGGATTCGTTCTTGAAGGATTACTTTGTTCAGTTTTGACATATAGTCTAAGAACTCTCTTATCCCTGATTTTGAACAGCAACCCTTTATTGTATATTTCATGGAAAAAACCTCCTCCGCTTAAACTGCTTAACTTGCAGAAAGTTGAGTAACGCTCAATATTTCTAGGAAAGAATTCATACGGTAAACTTTAAAACAGGAAATCACTATGCCTTGTGTAAGTCTAACCGAACACTTCGACTTGACTGTTGATAAGATTTTCAAGAAATAAATGTGTATAGTTCCTCCAATACGTGAACCGCAGATTAGCTAGTGATCTAGACATCGGTGATTTATGCAACGAAACAAGTTACTGCGTACGTCATGGAAAAACCTGCTGTGAGAAACAACAATTCAAGTACAGAATTTTTACACATCAACTTGTCACTATTTAAACTTCAAAGGATAAACTTAAACTTAGGATAAAGGACAAAATCTACACTTACCAATACGGACTCAATTCACAGCGTCAAAACTAGGCAATTGAGGAAATGTTAGTCGACGAACGAGAAGTCAACCTTTAAGTTCATTATTAACAAAACTGCAAACTTTGGCCAACCTGTCGACATATCTTCATAACGTCTACTGCAACCTTCACCGTTGTCGTCATTATACATATCAGGAGTATCTCCAGTTCCCTGTGGACGACTTGAGGAGCCTTTGTAAGCGCCACGCCGATACACTCGATTACCGATGGTATAAGTTTCCACATAAAGTGGAAATGAAGTCATTTGGTAGCGTGAGATGCCAAAAAACGCACGACGCCCAGTAATAAGCAGACGGTACAGCTGTAAGCGAAAACGTCTCAAAGTTTAACACATTAACGGCAGTTTGCTTTCTCCGTATACTGGTTTAAAAGAGAAAAATTAGAGCGTCTAGAAGACAAAAACTTATAGGAGAGACTCCGCTTTATCACTCTGGGTATAGAAATTTTTCGAATCTGTCATTTCTAGATTTCCAACTTAACGTTCCAAATGTTTTTAACATAGTATCATTTAACATATCAACTGTTGCAAGTTAATCGATAAGGTCTCCCTTCCCCAACAAGATCGTGATATATTCCTCTGCTTTAGTTGCTCACAGTTTTGGAACTTTTCCTCTGTGTAATAGAATAATTCAGCCTGCAGCATGCAGCATTGGCTTTTCAAAAACCTTTTATGGGGCTGATGGAGTTTTGAGTATGGCTTATAGAGAAATACCTGAATGTTATTCATTTCATCACATGACGCCGTATGCAGTTCACTATCCCTTGGGCAACGGTTTCTAGAATTTTCACGATGACCAAATGGTATTCTCACGTCCCTGGCATTTGTTTTATCGAAATTCCGTCAATAATAGACGGATTTGCTGCGTTGCCTCATTTACGTCCAATGGAATTAAGCCAACAACCTAAGCCATAGTCGTTTACGAAGATCCTACAAGAAAAATATGCTGCTCAATAAGTGTCTGAAGTTAGCAGAACTTATAGAGCTACTCCTGCACCTGATAGCGAGAAATGGAGATTGCTGATGCGAACCATGGTCACTCGGCAACCAATCTCAGGACAGGACAGGACACTGTTTATGGATTAACTGAGAAATTACTATGCAAAAACTATGATTATTAACAATGAAGAAATGGTAGCCATCTTAACAGGTCATTACCCACAATGTTTGTGTTCCTATGACACCTGTATTGCCCATGGTTGGGGTGTCACAAACTAGATGTGCAGTAGAATCCTGTCAATCTCATTTGAAGAGATCGTAAATCATGAATATGCAAAATGTGTTAGCAGGACTTACAAATCAAGAATGATTCATACGGTGTAGAAGTAGTGACCACTTTCAACTTAAACAAAATTTACGTTCCTAGAAAATTTTATTAAATCGAATGAAAACATGTAGACTGCGCAAATCACTGCTAGTTAAGAATGAGTGTTCCTAATCTATAAAGGTGAAATCCTTGCGCCTTGGAGTCTACAAACGTATTTTTTCGCTCTTTTTTCTTTTCTTTTTTGTTAGAAGTCGCGTTCAGAACATGAAAACAATTGAATAAGGGGAAGGGTAGCGCTTGCTTTGATAACTTCAAAAATCTGAATTCCGATCTTAATCGTTCTGAGAAATGGAATTCCAAATATGTTAAGTATTAGATGAGAATCATGTGTACCCTTCACGTGATAGAGCAGACTCTCGTATAAGTCCGTAAAATTATCGTCTTCCCAGCTATTCTGATGGTCGGGAAATTAACACCAATCATCGAAAAAACCAGCAAAGATCGTGAACGCGTTAAACAACTAATTTAGAGTTCAAATAGAATCGTGATGGCGTTGTTTTAGAACTGGTTATAAGAAACATGAATGAAAAAGAATGCTCTATAGGGACAAAAATGTGCATAGTATGTCTTCTCAATTTTCTAAATACTTGGTGTAAAATTCCTGAATGATCATTATTGTAGCACAAGTCTGACCATTTTCGTGAACATCTAACACATTGGCCGATTCGACCGTGTTCCAAATGAACCGAATGTCGTGATATTCGACTATTAAAAAGAGAAAGAGAAGCAAGAAAGAAGAAGGAAAAGAAGCATAGGGAAATGCGATAGAAGGAAAAAGTGAACGTAGAGTTCTTTATCCTCGTGTAGCGACTGGCACTGACATTAAGTTATAGAGGTATTTCCTTCGCATATAGTAGCGATATGGAGCTAAAACAACATCTTGAGCACAAGTCACTGAATTTATTTGCAAGGGCAGCTCACAGTTCATAATCACAGCTTCTCGTTAACGTTAACAACAGTAGGAAGATATCTTAATGTAAAATTTTTCAAATACAACAAAATCAACGAAGTGAACGAAAATAAATTACATGTTTTTTCAACCGTAAAAACCAAACTCAGTTGAGCAACATACTTTAATAAAACCTATGCACTAAATTCCGAATCATTTTTAACAGCTCCTACTTTTGGAAAGCCTAATTAGAACATTGACAATATCGATGGGACATTTAGTAGGGCAACCGCTTCACAGTTCCGCTACAGCCTTAGCAATGGCCGACAAAGCATGTTCGATTTCATGTTCGGTCATTTCAGATTGAACCATAAGACGAGCACTGAAAAAGAAAAGCAAAATACGAAATAGGGAAAAATTTCAAATCTTCAAAAAAAATTTTGCCCGTGTTCTATAAATCTCGCCCACGTGAAGGATCTCGAACCGAGTGATTCTCAGTCCCCAGATAGAAAGTGTTTTTGTGAAGTGTGAAGAAACCAGTTGCCACTGGATGCAGGTGGTTTCAGACCATGGACTTCCAGATGCGTTTTTGTCCGTTTGAAGTTCAATGGAAGAAATATTATTTAACTATTAAATAATTAATGGATAAAGTTGGGTGTCGACGGTCTTATTCACCGCAATAACTACCGCACACACTAGTCAACTATTCTGAGTTGGAAATAAGCTTGCCCATTTTGCAACGATATTGCGTCCTCGACAGCGTCGATGGGTAAATCACGTTTCAACACAGTTTTGACTTCCGAATAAAAATGTCGAATTCCTTCTCAGCTTGGCTGAATCTACTGGAAGGTAGCCTCTTTCCGTAGATTACAGTTCGGCGCTCAGTAACAGCTACTTGCTACGGTGAGATAGTAGAAGTCATGAGATGACGTAAATAATCGTTAACTGACTGTAATATGATTCCTTCGTAGTGTATTGAAAATATAGAGAGCACAAAAAATCGAGAACACCTAGTTGTCACACACCTCGGGAGAACTGGAAGCATCTCTTCATGTTCCAAATATCGAGCACGTGTGATCATGATCGCAGCCTCATCGAATAGCTAGAAAAGTGAAAACTTGCGGCGTTCAACTCACGTACTCACCTATTCTATCCGTACATTGGAAGAAACAAAATGAAAGAACGGAATACATATCTGTGGAATGAAAGACTTATGTCTTTTAAAACTGCGAGTCCAAACTAGTTAACAAAAAAATTGAATTCGAGACTTCACAACATCAAAGCACTAGAAAACAGGGCAAATTTTATCAGGTGGTAACATATGAAATGTCCGCTTTTAAACGTAAACTTTAAATAACTATAATTTTTTTCATACTCAACAACAAATAGTTTACTTATACCAGTTGAACAAAATTCTGAAGTTCTGGAAGCGAATAAGTCGTTGAAGGCATTTTTGCGTCATCGTGGTTGGTGAAGCATTTCTCGGCTTGGAAGTTGTCAAGGTGCTTGAAGAAGAAGTGATAGCCGGTAGGCGAGAGGCCTGATGAATACGGCGGATGAAGCACAGTTTCCTAACCCAACTCGTTCAACTTCTGCAGCGCTGGCTCAGCAAGGTAAGGTTAGGCGCTGTCGTGAAGGATTGGTCCTTTTCTGTTGACTAATACCGATCGTTGTTGTTGGAGTTAATGGTGCGTTTCGTCGATTTGCTGGCAATACTTCACTGCCGTAATCGTTGCGCCCAGATCCAAAAAGCTCTAATGAATCAACCGGGCTACAGACCATCAAACAGTCACCATAATCCCTTTTTTGGTGCAATTTCGACTTTGATAAGTGATGCGAAACCTGATCACAATCCATCCATTGAGCTGAACGTCGCCGGCTGTCGTACAGAATTCACATCTCGTCGCACGTCACAGTTCGATCAAGAAAACGGTCAATTTTGTAGCGCAGAATAAGAGCAGACGACACTTCAAACAGTGATTTTGTTGTTATCGTTCAATTCGTTCGACACTCATTTGTCGAGCTTTTCTTGTCTATCCTATACGATTCAGGTCAGTGGAAACTGTTCCTGTGCTCACGCCAAGCTGTTTTACAAGCTCTCGAACAGTTGTTTGCGTGTTTGCTTCCAGTAGTGCTTTCAATTCGTCGTCGTCAAGTTCATTGGGAGGTCCGCATCCTTCCTTACCTTCAACGTCGAAATCACCATATCGGAATTCCCGGAACCATGTTCACATTGCTGATTCACTAACACTACCTTGATTCTAAACTTGATGATATTCCGAGCACCGGCTGCGATAGTTATGTCCACTCTTCCACTCGTACAAAAAAGGACACGAATATAACGTTGATTCCTACTAAAGCTAAAGACTATAAAAACGTTAAAATAATAAATATTGAGAAAAACGAATACTAAATGTAGAAAGAGTTTGTGCTTCAAAAATAAAGATTAAACACACATAAAGAACAAATTTTTATTTAAAAAATTACATAAAAACTAAAACAATAAAGTTATACCTTCTTATTTTCTGCCAATGATTTCGCGGCAGGGTACCAAGCGAAATACAACCACAACGTTGCTGAGATATTTGCAAAACTCTGGACCGCAGGTGTCTATGGTGGGGAACGAACGCGCTATTGTCCTTTCCGGGGAGTAACGCTGGCAAAGATCGATAGAAATAGCTGAGAG